ATTATCAAATACTGATCCCTCCACCAGTGCCCATTTTCCACCACCATGGATCCCAGTATCCTTCCCACCCCCATTCCCCCGATCCCACCCTGCTTCTGTGGCAGGGCATTCCCTTTTGTTTTCTCTCTCCTTTTGGGTGTTGTGGTCTGCAAAAGAGGCATTGAGTGGCAATCATGTCGGTCCATAGTCTACTTTCAACATGCATCTCCCATCCTGGGAGGATCCTCCCAACACCCTTTATTTGGTGCTCCCTTCTCTATCTGAGCTGCCCTTTCCCCTAGAATGCCCAGCCAGCCTCTAGGCCATGGAGTAATCCTCTGGGTACTGATCTCAGCTATTCTTGGGTATTAATCTCCTATTTCATTACTTTAGACTATTTCACTTTCTTACAATTATCTTATATTTGAAATTAGCTGTGCTGCCTCTAGACTGTGTTGCTTCACTCTGGTCTGGAGCAGATTTTATGGACATGTCTGTTACCAGTATCTGAGCTTTAGGTTGTCTGTAAGAGCAAACAAGAGATAGATACCACATGCATTTGAGCTATTGTTTACTCTAATGGAAGAATGTTTCAAACTAACAACCACTGGGCCAAAGATTATACAGTGGGTAAAGTGCTTGCTTTGCATGCAGTCTATCCCGCATTCTGTTAAATTCTGGGTTCATAGTGAAGAAATAGATCAGTGGTATCTACCTCCAGAAATTTTTCAGTGAACATCACTGTTTAGGGAATGCTCAGAAAATAATTACAAAGTAAACAGGCTGTACTTGATTTTCGATTTTTTGTTATTACTGTTTGTTGGGGTGTGTTATATTTTTTGTCAATGCAGGAGAATCAACCAGAACCTCACTCTTCAAAGGTAAGTGCTTTTCCATTGAGCTACACCTGCCAAGCTACAGAGGTGAACCTTCCAAAGCCTGTTTCTTCCTTTCTCAGTGGCCCGGAGGACCACCAGCACCCTTCAACATCTCTTATCACCTGCCTTCCCCTTCCATTCCAAATAGGACTGCTCCAATGGCCCCATGTACTCTCTCTTGCTTAGCCAGCAGTCCACTTGAAATGCCCTCCTGCGAGCAGACCAACTCATATAATCATGCAAAATCTCTATAGTGCAGCAGCTTGCTGAAACGTGAACAGATATCTCCATTTCTTCAGGTAAAATGTTCCCGCCAAGTAACAGAAAGCTATATATCTAATGACAATTCCAGAGTGATTTGAACAGTTTAAGGACAAATGATCTGCATTTATTTTCATTATTTCTCTTCCTTCCCCAAATCAAAGATCTTTCCATGACTTTTTGGGCAAGGTGCCTAGAGAATTAGGCGAGGGTGCAGGAACAGCAAAGTTCTCACTGCTGTGAGTCTATATGTTCCATCACTCACCCATGAAAGAAATGTCTCACTTACCATAAGCACAGCCAATTTGGGACACAAGCTGTCACTTACAGCTCTTCCTCAAACAGACGGTCAACAGCTTAGTGTCTAAATTATTTGAGACAAATGTCCCTTTCAAAAGCAGAACTCACAGCTATACTTCTTTTTAAAAAATTAAAAAGAAATAAATTCAGACATTTATTTTTCTAGGCAAGAAGGCAGATAGACAGTTAGACACAATGTCCAAGACAGCCCTCTACCTACCCCAATGAGCTGATAAGAATTTACACATAACCTTTGTCCTTTGCTGTCCTAAAAGTTCCAGATCCTTCTTCCTCTTCCAACTTCCATAAAGACTATTAGTCGCATCTTTTGAAGTTTATAACAGAAACATATTAGTTTTCTTTAAGAATATACATGTACAATATACTTCAGAACAACTGTATGATCTTCACCAGCCATTAAGAGTGAAGAAATTATCTGAAGGCTACTATGTCATGTTTTGAATTACTATAAACTATTTAAACTAAGTGCTTTCAGCAAAGATTTCCTGTAACATCAAACACTGTTCTTCTCTGCATCCATGGCTACACCTTGCTGTATCAGATTGACATATACCACAATAACCTGTTCTCTTAGCTGATTATTAAGACAAGGGTCCTCGGGGAGAAAAACATCCAATAATGTTGAGAAATTTGCTAAAGTTCTGAGTTTATAGAACAACATTCCCCATGAAAGTTTCGAAACTAGCCTATATTTATAGCAAAGCATGCACAATTCAGCAATAAAATATCTTCTCTCTGAATAGAGCCAGACTAGTATTCAGACTTTGAATAATTTTTACTTTAAATAATATTGGGAAAGTCACTTTGTCACTCTGAACTCTTAAAGATTCCCTACCAGTCCCTTGTGTGTCTATCTCTTAGACCACATCTAATAGCAACTTTTACCTTGTAAACTGACATGGCATCCCCAACTCTTTCCTACCTCATGTACTTTGCACATGCTGATAATTATGCCAAATATTCCCTTTCCCAGTGTTTCACTTGCCTGATGTGATTTATGTCTCAGCTCAGAAAGCTTTCTACATGTCTTCAACATGAGTATATGCGTACATGTATAATTCTATAAAGAACAAAAGTAAAACTAGAGTACAGTGGTGTGAGTACACTATTATCATTTTCAGGATGAAAAAAGGGGCATCAAGGAAAATTCTGGTTTCCTAGCTAGTTTCTTGATGTGTATCTGGTTAGCTGTGTTTTGATTTGTGAAAATTTAGCAATCTATACACTTATAATAGGTACATTTAAAGCATGTGTGTTATGCTCTCACAAGCTAAAACAAGACAAAGAACCCCATGTTAATAAGTTTTCCTTTATCACGTGATCTATATTCATGCTATTGGCCTACCTATTCATTCTCTATCCTAGGACTACTTTTATTTCTTCATAGCATTTATCACTGGCTGAAAATATCTTTATTACTGCCTACAAGCATAGTCTAGCTTTGTCCTAATCCTGCTGAAATAAAGTAGCATGTGACCAAGATCTTGCCTTTCTTTTCACAATCCCCAAATCAAAGTGTCCAGAAAAATCCTACATAATACTATAGGTTATATATAAAGTACTTATATAAACTTAAAAACAAGTAAAGAATATAAGAGCAACCAAATGTCAAAACTGACACGAGCCAAAGGGGGAAAAAAAACTTCAATGACATCTGGCACTCAGAATGTGTTAATTATTAAATATGAGCAGGGGGTAACCTGGTCATAGACCATGAGTCTGTGAGTCTGTGTCAGGGTGGTTCATAAAGGAGAAAGTAGATCTTTTAACACTACAGTCCCCATGGTTTTGCAAAAGGTCTGGTTCACAGCAGGCCTATACCAAGATTAGCAACAGATTTCTGTGACACTTGGTGAGGATTCTTAGTCTGGTGGGAAAACTAAGTCGTGTTTAACTGCAGTGTTTGCCATGGATAACAGTCACAATATCAAAGCAGATTTTGGTGAAGGAGATTAACTAAGAAGCACCCTATAATGTATAGCAGTAAGACAAGGCACAAGATACCTATTTTTGGGTGTTTGATCGCTGTGTGATTGTAACCTAAACACAAAAGCTTGTAACTATCTCACGGTAATTCAATACAATTTAAAAAAGAAGTAATACCTATTTTGATTGCCAATTACAAGATGCCAGTAAAGAAATATGTGCCATAGGTGACGTAGAAATTATGGTTACTACTGTTGTACAAACTAACTTATATGCTGACATACTGCATTTTCGTGCTGAAATTAGTACTCAACAAGTCATAGCCTTATATCCTGGAAATTTAAAAGGAAACCATCATTCTAGAATCAGCTCTGTCACAAACTTTCCTTAACATTGGAACAAACACTGAACTTCTTTTGGGCTCAACTTTACTGCTGTGAAAAGAGTTGGTGGGACTAGATGTTTGGTAATGTCCTTTGCCAGCTGGACTACTATTACCAAAGTTAAAACTGAATTTTCAGTTACCTTCCTTCAAACCCATGGTAATATGTACCCAATGATAATTCAGCAGGGGAAAATGACTTTTATAAAAGAGTATACTCATATTCTAAGTCTTCATTTCTCTACTTTTAAGGACTGTGTGTTACACACAAGTACATAAATAAAAGTTTCTAAAAGAGTGAGGCAAGAGATCCTTTTACCCAGTAATCTTGCCAAACCCAGGTTTTTTATGACCAGCCAGAATATCTCTTAGAGTATTGTGATCAGACCCCATTACTTGATTAGATCAAAGTCACTTCATACTTTAGCTAAACACTGAGGTTTCATGAAGCAATGAAACCATGAGTTTTCACTGCCCTGAGGCCATGCTTCTCATCAATTCAAGTGTCAGAGTTAGCACTACTGGTGTTGTATTTTTATGACACTTTAATAATGAAAAGAACTTGATCACCTGGAGGTATTCTCCTTACTCTATTACAGTAGTTATTTGTGATTTTAATTAGACAAAACTGCCATTCCTTTTGCGATCCACCATACTGTCAAGCACCTATTATATCATAGGAATAAGCACTGGCACCTTTTAAATTTACGATAGCAAAATCAGAGAAGTGAGAAACGAGGAAATGGAGTGGGAGGGGGCTCAGAACTACGGCAGGATTGATCATTCACCAAAGCTTGAAGTAACTCAAAAAGACATTAGTAGGAATAGTTGGAATTTCCTTTAAGATTCTACTATGGTTAAAACTGCATGGGAGCATTTGCCTCTTCTCATCAATTAAAAATGGACAAATGCTCTGATGTGGCTAAATCCCACGGTCCTTTCTTTAAAAAAAAAAAAAAAGAAAGCATTACTGATGGAGAGAAAAGTTTCGTGACTTGAGTGTCATTTCTCCAAGAGTCATCACCGATTCATAGCACTCCTGACTGCTTTGACTCTTGCCACCTGCAGAGGGTAAAAATCTCAGTAGCCAAGGCCAACAGCCACTCTTTAGTAACCCCCATTCTCCCACTTCAGTCTCCAGGAGAGGAGGGAACTGCAATTTCCCGCTTTCCTCCATCGCACCACCCCTCCGCGCTTGCCTTTCACCAAATCCCTGCAGTCCGGCGCGGTCTGCAAAAGCGGCCAGCAGAAGAGTTCCCACGAGCGGCCAGTTCCTAAATGCACGGGAGGCCGGGAGGGATCCGTCGCTAAGCGGTTTCCTCACGCGGCCTAACAGAAACGCTGCGGGACAGACAGTGCCCGGGCAGAGTGGACACAGCAGGTAACAGAAACTCAACAGAAACTCGCGAAAGCGCCGTCGGGGAGCTTTTCCTGAACTTGAAGGCAGCGCGCGGGCACAGTCCGGGCAGGCGCGCGCCTAGTGAGCGGGGGGTGCTTAGGAGAGCGGCTCCTTCACCGCCTTCCGTCCGCAGCCGGGGCACTTTCGGGACCCCCCACCACCCCGACTCCGGGCCTCGGGTACCCCAGGGGTTGCAGTGTGCCCGGAGCGCGCCCGCGCGGCGCCTGGGGAGGTGGGCGCCCGCCGCCGTGCACGCGCGCTCCAGAGCGTCCAGCGGCGGGAGCGGCCGCCGAGCCCCTCCCCGCGCCCTCCCCGCGGCTCACCTGGGGCCCGGCGGCCCGGAGCCGGGGTCGCGCGAGCTGGCCGAGCCGCGCCGCCAGGGGGGACGCCATCTTAGACAGGAAACCCGCGCGGGGCCTCGGGGCGCCGGCTAGAAAAGGGGAGGCCCGGGGGCGGACCCCTCCGACGGGGCCCGCCCCCGGGGCCGCTGTGCCGCGCGCGCCTCTCCCCGCACCCCCGGGCGTCTGCACCCGCCCCGTCGCCTGCTGCGCGCCGGAGTTTGCACCGCCCCGACGCCAGTCGCACTCGTGGGAGTCTGCGCGGCCCCGGCGCCAGCTGCACTCCTCGTGGGGAGCCTGTACGGACTCCGACGCCCGGTGCGCCCGTCTGCACAGCCCCTCGACGCCAGCTGCACTCCTGCAGCGTCTGCAAGGCCCCCGACGCCAACTGCAATCCTCGTGGGGAGGCTGCACGGACTCCGAGGCCCGGTGCATTCGTGGAGAGTCTGCATGGCCCCCGATGCCCGGTGCACTCGTGGGGAGTCTGCAGGGCCCCTGAGCCCGGTGCACTCGTCTGCACGGCCCCCGACGCCAGCTGCACTCAGGCAGGGTCTACACGGCCCCTGATGCCGGGTGCACTCATGCAGTCTGCACGGGCCCAACGCCAGCCGCCCTCATGGGGAATCTGCTGGCCCCCGACGCCAGACACCTCTTGAGGTGTCTCCAGGGCCCCCAACGCCAACTGCACCCATGCAGAATCTGCACGGCCCCCGACAACATCTGCCCTTGAGGGGAGTCTGCACGGGCCCCGATGCCAGCTGCACTTGGCCATCCTAGATCCGCGCGCCACTGGTGCACAGCTATTCCCAGCTATTCCATCAGGGTGAGATGCCTCAGGTCCGCCCCATGTCCCCAGAATGGAATTCAGCCCGGATCTCCAGGGACACAGGAGTCATCATGACAGCGACGAGTTCTGGAAGGAAAGGCCTCCGAGCGTTAGCCATCTGAGAAACTGGGGCCTGCTCTAGTCCTGCATCATTTGGGTTCTTGCCGGGACCAGATGGACAGGGTGAGAGTGAAAATGAGGGGGAGGGAGCATGGGAGTCTGGGGGAGTCAGTGGACACACTGGACTCTTTAGTAAAACTGTCTGGGGGGTCAGGGGGAGGGTGCACCCGGCTGTGCTCAATCCTGGCCCTGTGTCACACCTGTCGGTGTTCAGGAACCATATACAGTGCCTGGGTGGAACCAAGATGTCCCGAGACTTGGAGAAACAGTCTTACCACAGTGCTATCTCTCTAACCCAGTCAGAGGTATTTTTTGTTCTGTTTCGTTCATTTTACAGGTGCCACACCCAGCTGGGCTCAAGGGATTTAAGATTATTCCGGGCACTGTGCAACCAGTCAGTGAAAACCTGATGGTTAGGAGTTCCATGACGTGCACCTCAGAGCACCAGGAGCCACCAGGATTACTCAAGAGTTTGTGGGAATAATAATTTTTAAAAAAGTTTTTAAAGCTGAAGATCAATGTAAAACTAATACGTTCACAACCGGCAGTTGTTTGGAGTTCAAGTGATTCTAAGGACTATATATTAATTAAAATGACAGTATCAAATGTGCCAAAATCTTTATGAGTAAGAACTCATTGTATTTGTATCAACTTTTCTTGTTGAAGCAACCATAAAATACCTAACCCCCCCCCCCCGCCCCTCCCCAGATACTTTAAGTAACTTACTTAGGGTCATTCAACAGAACTGGTAAGAATGGAGATAAAAATTGAATTCAGAGTTGCATCTCTCCAAGCATTATGCTCTGTTTTGAAATTTTCTTTAAACTTCCTTATTCTCAAGCTTATTGCCATGGGAAAAGGTTACAATGTAAAAGATTTAAGCAATTTCTTTTTTTATGTTTTGTTTTTTGGGCCCAGGGTTTACTCCTGGCTCTGCACTCAGGAATCACCCTTTCCTGGTGCTGAGATCATATGGGATACCAGAGATAGGGGGAAAAGGGAAGTTAGGATAGAGAAGGGACCAGTGTGACAATCATAGTTGGAAATGATCACTTTGAACAGGAATTGAGTGTTGAAAGGTCGAAAGTAGGCAAAGGGATATATCTGATAACGTTTCACCACCTGTATTGCAAACCATAATGGCCAAAGGGAAAGAGAGCAAGAGACAGAGACAGAGAGACACAGAGAGAGACAGAGACAGAGAGAGAGAGAGTAAATGTGCCTGCCATAGAGGTGGGGTAGGGGAACTGCCATAGAGATATGGAGATGGGAAGGAAACTGGGCATATTGCTGGTGGGATATATACACAGATGAAGTAATGGGTGTGGAAAACCAATCATGAATAACTTTATCTCACTATGATTCCATTAAAAATGTTTTTTTTTAAAAAAAAGGAATAAAAATTCTTTAGTTTGAAACAAACAGTAGCAAACTCTCAAGAATATTCTGGTGCATCAAAAGACACGTTCCAATGCTACCCCCACTGGGGTCCTAAATGTACTGTGAAAGTTAAAAGATCAAAGATGGAGGTGAAGCCTGAATATTGCTTTCAGAGATACTTGACACATTAATGTAGATTCCACCACTTGTCTCAGTCACCTGAGATATGTTGAAGCACTGGATAAGATGAATACATAGCTATTCTTTTTTCCCCCTCAAAATTGCAATTGTACACGACTTAAAATGACAGGGGTTATAAGCATATTGAAAGCAATCTCTTTTGTCTAATATCTGATGGAAACACAGATATAGACACTGGATAGAGTATAAGTTGGACCTCTGTGATTGTAAAATTCCTTTTAATGAAAAAAAATTAACTAGAAACAAGCAAAAGTGAAGGCATGAACTGTAAAACCTATGTTCTATGCAAAAACGGTAATATTTAAATAGAGGGAATTTTACAACAATTCAGACCTATATAAAGAAACAAGAACTATCTCAAGTACAAAACCTGAAGAAACCAAGAAAGAAAAAGGAGCAAATGAAACAAAAGCAGTAGATGTAAGAAAATAATAAAAGTTAAAGGCAATACAAACTGTTTGTTTTAAAAGATAAGCAAAATTAATAGCCCTTAGCTAGAATCACTAAGAAAAAGTTCTAATAAGTGCATTCATAATGAACAATAAGTTAAATAAATAAAACAGAAACCAAAGGCTCATAAGGGATAGAAGATTATTAACACTTATGTCGATAATTTGGAAATTTTTTTAAAAATGGATACATTGTTTTTAAATCTTAAAAACTTTCAAACCTGAATTAGGAGGAAATAGAAAACCAGGACAGATCAATTATAAGAAAGAAAATTGAAATCTAAACCAAAAATCTCCTAAAAACCAAAAGCCAAGAACAAGTCAGTTTCATGAGTGAGGTCTATTACATATTTAAAGATCACCTAATATCCATTCCATCTTTCTGACCTCATCTTGTCATATTTTATTTTGTGGGAAAAACAAATCAAAACCACATGAAATATCATCTCACACCTGTGAATATGTTCTAGTTGAAAAAAATAACAAACCAAAACAAGTGTCCATGAAGGTGTGGAGAAACTACTCATAAATTGCTATAGGAATGTAAACTTTGCCGCCTCCATAGAAAATGTTATGAAGGATTCACCAAATATTAAAAATAGATCCAACATATGATGGATCTTGAAATTTCAGTCCAAAGAATGTAAACCCACTAAATTTGGCTGGGGAAATAGCTCCAGTGGAAGACCAGATGCTGAGTACCTGAGTTCAATGCCAGTTGTCACATACATCTGTAAAAGTCCCTTAGTTTGACCCGGTGCAAGAGCCTGAGTTTAGTGCCAGGTGTTACATACCACTGGATATGACCCATATTTGTAGAAAATGAAATTTTGCCATTAGTGGCAGCAAAGTGGAACTGGAGAGGATTAAATTAATCCCTAAGTAATTCATAATGAGAATAAAAAATGTTTGGTGTGAAATATTAAAAAAAAAGTAAAAGAAACTCAGGGTTGTGACTTCAGGATTGATATTACCAGAAGGGAGGGACAGAGAGTAAAGAGAGAGAGAGAGAGAAAGAGAGAGACTGCAATAGACTCTGATAGAGACCGGTAATTTGGCAGTGGGTGTGTTTGAGGACATATGTTTGGAGAAGTGTGAGTCTGTACTCACAAAACACATACAGTCTCAAAACAAAATTACCTTAAGAAAAAATCTTTGAAATGACCTTGGGAAAGTTACTTCACAGCTTCAATTCTTTTCTCTGTAAAAGGGGGAGGTTTTATGCTACTTATTTTGCCAAGGAGACAAGCATCATCATCAAGTATGTGACACCCCCCAGTGACTTAGCTATCATATCTTGAAACAGAAATCTTTTTTCTTAGTCATTTCTTTATATGACATTGAGTCTGTTTTGCCAGTAACTGGAAAATGAAGGCCAGGTATGTAATGTCTTGTTCAAACTTAAAACTAACAAACAAGCACAAAATACTCTGCATACATTGACACAATGAACTTCAAAACTTCCATAAGCAAACTTTGAATTTAGAATAGCCTGCCTACACTTTTTATTTTTATTATTCAGCTAATCATTATAGGGAAAAAATTAAAGTCATCAGCAGGCCCACACACCTGCTCTTTCATCTTAGCAATACATGTTAACAGTGAAATAATGTGCTCATTTTCATATCCACACTGATTACTCCTGGGGCTCTGATTTGCCAAAAAGGCATGTCATGAAACCTAGCACAGGGATAGCACATCTAGCAGTTCCAATGTCTCTTTATCATTACCTTTTCATTTAAGCATAAAAACCATTTGACAAATACAAATTCATTATAACTAGCAGAGTTGAATAGAATATTTAAAGAAACAACTCTAATTTTCATAAATAACATATTGTAGTTCATGCTGGTGTCAGAAAGGAAAATCACTATTACAGTGGTGCAATAAAGGGCATTTGTGGATTTTTTTTTGATGATTTCTTTTTAAACAAATAACAGATTTTTAAAAGCTCACTAGGAAAGAAACTTTGGCCTTTCATTATGTTCATAGGTAATATTCCTCTTTCTGTCTGCTACAGCGATTCTAACCAATTGTTCTCTTTGCCAATGGCACAGAAAGAACTTTCATTGTCCTGGAATTATCAACCCCCCTATTATATAATACACTCAAGTAATTAATTTAGATGGCATTTCTCAATAGCCTATTTAAATAATAAGGTGCTCAGAAGAAAAGGGATCTAAAACTAAAAGTGTCTTCCATGATGAAACTGCAGTGAATTTAAGAGAAACTTCATTATATCCTGAAAAGGATGCAGGGTAGAAAAATTTAGTCATGGTTAACAGGTCAAAGTCAAGTTGAAAAGGGAGGAAGAATGAGCAACATTATGAATATTATAAACCCAGAGAAAGAGTTATCAGAAGCAAGATCAGTTAAGCAAACTAAAGGAAACAGATGTAATAATGGAAATGAAGGCAATGACATTGGGTTGGGAGGAGTTTTGAGATGGGTTAATGAGAGGGTTAAAATAGAATAAGAGGGCTGGAGCCAGAGCACAGCGGGTAGGGCATTTGCCTTGCAGGAAGCCGACCTGGGTTCAATTCCCAGCATCCCATACAGTCCCCCTGAGCACTGCCAGAAATAATTCCTGAGTGCAGGAGCCAGAAGTAACCCCTGTGCATCACTGGATGTGACCGCAAAAAGAAAAAAAACGTGGAATAAGGGACATTTACATAATAATAGTGGAGGGGCATAGATTGAAGGACACAGAGGCATCACATTGTGGGAAAGAAGCTTCCTCCCTAAACAAAACTTTACATTCCCTTTAGAACAGGAAACCATGGCATGAAATTTAGTGATTGCCATATTTTTAGGACTTCCTTTTTAAAGATTCCAATATAAAAATGCAATAAGCATTTTATTTTTAATGTTATTTTCCATGATTCCTTTAGAAAATTTAAAAAAAAAGCCTCTGGGACCACATCCACCAAAGATTCTGATTGGTTTGAATCACCGTGAGATACAGTTACAAAGTTGTTTATAATTGGGTTTCAGTCATATAATTCCAACACCCATCCCTTTACCAGTCTACATTTCCCACCAACAAGGTGCCCAGTTTCCCCGCCACTCCGCACCCCACCCCCCAGCTCCTGCTTCAACGTCAGACACTCTTCTCTCTCTCTCTCCCTCTTTCTCTCTCCCCTCCTCACTCTCTCTCCCTCTCTCTTTCCTTTTAGGCATTAATGTTTTGCAATACAGATGTTGAAAGGTTATGTTTGTCACTTTACCTACATTCAGCACTCAGTTCTTATTCAGAGTGATCATTTCCAAATACCGTTGCCACTGTGATACCTTCTCTATTATAGGTGGTCTCTCCCCACCACTTGTGACCAGTTTCCAGTTGTCGACCATTCTTTAGGAGGTACTCTTGAAGTCTTCATAGCTGCATATTTGTAAGAAATTTTCCAATACCACCATCAATCACTATATCACTGTATCTCTGTCATCCAGTTATTCATCGATTTGCTTGAGCAGGCACCAGTAACGTCAGCATTCATCCTAGACTGAGATTTTAGCAGCTTCCCCTTACTCGTCCTTCCTAAATGTGCTTCATTGGAGGCTCTCTCAGAGT